GCACACACAAAAAACACACACACACACACACACACACACACACACACACACACACAATTAAAAATAAAAAAGTCTTTTAAAAGTTTTTGGTAGGGGGAATTATTTGTTTATTTGAGACGGGGTCTCTCTGTAGCTAGCCTGGAACTCACTCCATAGACCAGGTTGGCCTCAATCTCACAAAGATTCACCTGTCTCTCCCTCCTGAGTGCTGGGAATAAAGGCATGTGCCACCATGCCCAGCTTAAAAGTATTCTAAAAGTGCACACTTAATTTCAAAGTCTTAGCAGGAGAAACAAATATAAAAGATCACACTTATACTTTATTTATTATGTACTAATACTTTAGATATAGTGGATTATAAATAATACAGGATAGGTAGCCCCTATCTAAAATGCTTGGGGTTACCAATATTCCTTTTTTTTTTTTTTTGCATTTTGAGTATTTGCATATTTGTAGTAAGATATTGCTGACTGTTGTGGGTCACTATACTGTAATCCCATCTTTTAGGAGGCAGAAGGATCAGAAGCTCAAGGTCATCTCTGGTTACATAGCAAATATGAGGCTAGCCTGTGTTACATAAGACCCTTCTCAAGAAACACAATGCAACAAAAAAACTGAAACACAAGATATTTTGGAGATGGGACCCATGAATAAATAAGAAGTTTTTTTGTTGTTGTTGTTTTGTTCTTTTGAGACAGGGTCTCATTGAGACTGGACTCCAAACTCCTGATCTTCCTGCTTCCACTTCCCAATACTATGATTCCAAATGTGTACCACCATACCTGGCTTTAAAAAGATTTTTTTAAAATGTCACATGACACTTTTATACAAAGTCTAAAGGTTTTTTTTTTCTTTTATTAAAGATAGGGCCTTACTACACAGCTCAGGCTGGCCTTAAACTTATGGCCTTTCTCCTGATTCTTCCTCTTAAGTGCTAGGATTATAGGCCTGAGCCACCTTACCTATCTGTTTTTGTTGAGATACATCTCCATATAGCACAGGCTGACTTTGAATGCTATGTAACTAAGGATGACCTTGAACTTCTGATCTTCTTGCCCCATGTACTGACATTACAAGTATGTGTCATCATATCTAAAAAAATGTCTTACATAAAAAGGACACTGAAAAGCTGGGCATGGTGGTGCATGCCTTTAATCCCAGCACTCGGAAGGCAGAGGCAGGCAGATCTCTGTGAGTTCAAGGCCAGCCTGCTCTACATAGTGAGTTCCAGGACAGCTGGGGCTACAGGGAGACCCCGTCTCAAAAAGACCAAAAAAAAGGGACACTGAGTTTAACAAGGTTGAAATCACTGCTCCAGGAACTGTTCACAATTACTGCAAATTAGCTTAGTCTATAAAAGTTGAGGCGTATGGAGGCACACATTTAATGGTAGAGTGTTTGCCTCTTATGTATGAGGTTCTAGGTTCAACTCCCAGCATTTAAAAAAAGGGGAGAGGGAGAGGGATACAAGGAGTCTACGCACAGGAAAGAAAAACTTTCCTTTTCTTATGGAGTCTTCCGCTTCCATTTTTAGTAACTGAATACTAGCTGTTAACTGGCTACTGTATTTAATGCCTCTTTGGCTTCAAACTTATGATCTTCCAACCTCCACCACTCAATTGCTGGGAATACATACATAAGTCAACATGTGGGGCTTAAATATCATTTGTGTGTGTGTGCATGTGTATGTGTGTGTTCGCATAGTTGTGGGCGCACAAGTGTGTAGGCATGACCCTCCTGCCTTTGCCTCTTCATCATATTCTACCACCATGTGCCACCATAACCAGCTTGTTCCTTTTTAATTGGTTGCTATGTTTTTCATTTTAAAAAATTTAATTTAATTAGTTATTATTTTGGTGTCTCAATTAGATTTAAACATGGAGCCTCTTATAGATATGTACATGAATTCGTTGACTAACTACTTAGAACTGATAAGTTGTTAAGTGTATGAATGTTCAGCTTTAGCTCTCAAAAATAGTTGTTACACCCTACACTTCTGTAGTACAGAAGCACTCTAGCAGCTTTACATCCTTGCCAATGCCAGGAGTGTCTTTTGCTGGTAGATGTTTGGTGTCTTTTGCTGGTAGATGTTTGGTGTCTTTTGCTGGTAGATGCAGAACAGTATTGCATTGTGATTTTCACTTGTATTTTTAAAATGATTAATGCTGATTAGTACTTTTTCATAAGTTTATTGGCTATTTCTATTTGTCACTGGAATAAGAGATTCTATTATTTTGTTTTGCTTTTTTCCAGTGTTTTTGTGGACAGGTCTCATGTAGCCCAAACTGGTTCCAAACTTGTTATGCAGTTAAGGATATAATGAAAACCACTGGTGAGGCTTTATTTAATAATGATAATCTTATAGGGTCCAATGGTTTCTTAAGATGACACTCATTTTAATATAGTGTAACATTAATAAGTACTAAGCATAGTGGCTTACATGACATTTTGAACTTAGGCTCACACAAAGGCCAATAATTCTTTTCTTTCTTCCCCTAATGCTGGGAATTGAACCTAAGCATGTTAGGCAAATGTTCTATCACTGAACTGCATTCCTAGCTCTTCAACTTACATTTCTTAATGTCAGAATTAAATGACTTTGGAGGCATATATATTTTATCTAACAGAGATCACAGGGATTCTGATAAACAATCAGAAAGAAGAACTATCATACTAATATTCTAAGGAAAGGCGATATTGTACTCCAAACAGTAGTTAAGAAACAAGAGTTTATTATGATCTATAAATAATTTAAAAATTTGTTTAAAAGTTGGTGTTGGAGGGGAGGGAGTGGGCATGGATTTGATCAAAACACCTTATATGCATGTATGAAATTCTCAATAATTTTTTTTTAAAGGTGAACTCTGTAATCACCTAAGAAAGAAAACCCTTCAGTAGCTTTCTCTACAGGCTAGAGTGACTGGCATCCTCTTACATTTACCAAACCCTAAAGAGCTCTCTGTGAAAAGTATAAGGCAGGCTTTCCTCTGCTGGACAAGTTCAACTGACTGGTACCTTGATAACATCCAAAGTAACTTGCCAGCCAGTAAGTCCTTGTTCTGTTTTGCAAAATTGTTATTGAACCAGCATACCTTCCAAGAGCGTGATACTTGGCAGAAAGTGAGATCTCAATCCACTTTTGATGAATGAATGAATGAATGCTCAGAAGATGAATATACCAACTTGGCACCAGTGTTTGCAGTTCAGTGGAGACCTGAAAAATGCTGGGCTCCTGTTCTAAACATTGCATCAATCAGTCTCCTTCCCATCAACAAATCTTTCTCTGTCAATGACCCAAATGCAGAATTCCTTTGTTTGCTTTTGTACAATAAACTCAGAATTCTGACAAAAAAAAAGTTTGTGCATGGGGCTGAAGAGATGACTCAGGGTTAAGAGCACTAGCTGCTCCTGCAGAGGACCCAGGTTCAGTTCCCAGCACCCACATTGCAGCTAACAACCATCCATAACTCCAGTTCCAGGGGATCTGACACCCTCTTCTGACCTCTGTGGGCATTGCACTTACATATATGCAGGCAATACATTCATACACATTAAAAAAAAATAAGTTGGTGCACATTAGGGACTTATGGAATATTCACTCTGGCAAAACACCTTCTCTCTCAAAAGGAGGGCATGGGCCTGAATGTCATGCTAATTTCACAGATTATTTCTATTGAAACTATACAAATATAAGTGAACTGGAATACTCAGTGCAGAATGACATAATGGTAGAAACTGAATAAAGCTGAAGTTATGCAAAGGAAAACCTCCCAATACTTAAGAGCCAAACTAGAGTCTGGGCCCTAACCCTCACCCCTCCCCCAAAACAAAATATTTACATTTATACTCACCTTTCTGAAAAATCAGAGTCTATAAATTCTCTAGCTCGTTTTCTATCACTAAAAAGACAAAAAGATAGCTTAAGCACAACACATAAATACAACTTTATTTTTAAATAATTATCTCACTCTACATGGAATACATCCAAAGGCAAAAAATACAAAAAACATGTACACAAAACAAAAGCTTAATTCTTATCATGGAATAAAGGCATGACAACATAACAATTATTAAATAAGCTTAGTGAACACTCAGGGAAGAAAACAGCAAAGATTTATAAATGAATTTTTACAAAATTCTCGTTTTTAAAGTATAGTATATACAATGTCTGTTAACATGTATATGGCATAAAACACTGGACAGGACTGTTACATCATTAACTCACTTATCCGTGAAGTAAGAACATTTTTACTCAACAAAGGTTTATTCTTAGCTTGCTAAAACTCATGCAGGACATGTATGTAATATACATAACTCCTAATGTAATAAAGCATCTAAAGTGATAAAATGAGGCTTGAAGTAATAATCTTAAAAATTTTTGCTGGGCGTGGTGGTGTACACCTTTAGTCCCAGCACTCTGGAGGCAGAGGCAGGCGGATCTCTGTGAGTTCAAGGACAGCCTGGTCTACATAGTGAGTTCCAGGACAGC